CGACCCCCCACCTCTGATGAGCACAAGCCAGCTGTGGAATGACATCGCTGGCATTTAACAAGCCAGCTGAGCGACCAGGACCGGTCGAGTCGCGTCGCCGCAGCTGAGCCGAGCCAAGCTGACCGCCCGGGATAAGTGAGGCTCGAATGTCTGTCGGCAAGCCGAGTGCGGTCGGGAACTGGATGACGTGGTCGGACCTGAAGGTTTTCAAATATGAAACGTTTATTCGACTGTCGTGTCGGTTTGTGTTGCGTAGCAGTTAGACACTGTTCGCTATTTTATTTCTGTGGTGGTCACACAACACGGAGCGCTGAATCTTTTGGGGGCGACGTGTGATTCCTTAGGTGGATGCTGAGCATCTCACGTAGACTCCGCTGTGTTTTCGTTTCTCGAGTGGCCATTATGACTGTCAAACCATGTGAGGAAGTCAAGAATAATGGTTTATTCAACAATTGTTGAAGTGACTGGAATGAGGGCTTTGGTCACAAGAGAATGCTTACAATATACAGTGGTGCCTCTACTTACAAAATGAATATGTTCTCGAAGAAATTTCTTAACTAGAACATTTTGTGAGTTGAGACGTGTTTTCCATGTAAATGCCCTAATCCGTTACAAGCTCCCCCAAAATTTAGACATAAATGTTTTCTAAAGCATAAAAATGCATCAAAATATGGAACAAATACATGTTACAATTCGAGCGGGCGAATCACGAGGACGCTGCATAGACACATATCTATTTATCGATCTACACACACCGGCACATACGGTAGAGGACCCTCTTAGCCAATGGGATGCCAAGATGATGCTTGGTGCTATCCAATGGCAGAGCAGCAGTATGTTGCGTTCAGTAAACTCGGAGCTGCGACTAGCCCATACTGTATTTTTACCTTTCGTATCTTGAAATTTATTTCATAACAAGAGGGAATATTTCCCTGTTGAGGCGTTTTGTAACTTCAAAATTTCATATGAAGAGATGTTTGTAAGGAGAGGTACCACTGTATGTTATTTATTACGTATGAGAATTTGAAATTTTGCAAGATTTTAGCAAGCATCCATCATGGAAGGTGACATGTTTGATTTGCTTTCGCGGGCCACATAAAATGAGGTGGCGGGCCAGATCTGGCCCCCGGGCCTTGAGTTTGACATCTGACGCCGTAACGTGACTGAGAGAGATGCGCCGCTTTTCCTGCTGTAGCCCTAAAAATATAAATAGATTTTTTTTTCCACGTGTTATCGGTGTTTGTTATTGTTTTCAGGGAGGGTTGGGGAACCTAACAGTGAGAGCGATTGGTCTCAAAACAAGTAAAACCTCAGTGGAACTCTTATTAAGAAAAAAACAAAACAAAAAAACGTGTTCATCAAAACTGATGCCAATCAACATGAGTTCCATCACAGTCCTGAAGCGCATTTTTGAGACATGATCGCAACCCAATCATCAGTGAGGATCAGGGAGCCCGAGCAACCCATTCGAGCCGAGTTGCGACGGCAACTTCCATCAACAACCGCGACTTGAGCAATACAATGCACCTCATCACATCAAGGGGGTTCATCAATTTGTAACCGCAGTCGTCCGATTGAACATCAAAACTTAATTGTCAGCAATAATGTACAGTAAAGTGAAGGATGGCAAAGCGTCACGGGACAACAAAGTGCCACACACACACACGCACGCACAAAATCTGCCTGTTCTGAAAATGACAAATTGGGAGGATTTTGTGTCTCCCCGACACCCTCCTCAAAAAAATAGTCTTGCATTCCTAACTTGTTTCTTGGCTATTAATGATAACGATGACTTTTTTTTTTCAATTGATGGATGTTGAGAAAATAATTTCTCCCAAAGCAAAATGCAGAAAAATAATCGGAAGGTATTACATAAAAATATAACTTTTTGTGCATTATGTCCATAAGAAAAATAATAATAATTCTAATTTTTTTTCATTTCTAAATGATCAGGGTTAACACTTCGTATGTTGACCTTGAATTAAAAAAAAAACAATTAAAAAAAAAATTGATCATCTTTGCTGTTTCTGGGATTAAAAACGTGCAAGATAAAATCATAAACTCAAATTTAACTACCTTTGTTCTTTAAGCATAAAATACAAAATGCTTACAAATTTAGAATGTCATGCTTCATTCTTGGGTAAAAAAAAAAATTTGCTCCAAATAGTGGTAAAGTAGTTTGTTTTTTTGCACAGGGGTTCCCCCTACAGTTGCGAGGTGGAATCCAACTCCGAAGAAAGCGAAAGAAGCCGAATTGCATTGAAAGTTTGTTGAATGTTTGCGCTCAAGCCTGAGCGAACGCCGTTCGTCAAATAGCATTTTTGAATATCTCCAGAAAAAAACAAAAAAAAAACCCACACAACAAAGTCAACAAACCACTTGCCTCTATTCAACCATTTCCCGAAAGACTGAAAATTTCGTCGCACGGTTATGAGAATTTGTCTTGATGTTTTGACACGTCGTCAAAAATGACTTGGGCATTTATTGTGTCTTGATTTGTGCACAACAACAACAACAAAAACCCTCCACTGTTCCTAAAGTAGGTCACGCCATGTCACCATGGCAACAGTCGAGATGCCGTTCTCCCAGTGACACTAAGGGGCGTCGTTTTTTTTTTTGTTTTTTTTTTTGTTTTTTGTAAAAACTTAAACGACTTCCACGGGCCGCCTTGGAAGTTGCCCGTCGCAGCCTTCCTGGAGTTATCTGCAATCATAGCAGCGTTTGCCGGGATGTTAGCGGCCGGTTCGGTCCCATCGGTGGCGCTCACGTTTAATTGGCTGCCTGGCGCCGCCGCGCTCTTCCGCGGCCGCACCGACACATTTGAACACGCGGGAGAAATAATTGGCCCGAGGATCAGCCGTGCTTTTAATTCACGCTCCCTTGCTCTTCTGCCGGCGCAGCTGCCGCCTCTGTTCCCTGTCCAATTGGGGGGGGGGGGGGGGGTTTTTTTTTTTTTTTTTTTTTTTTTTTTTTTCTGGGTGTGTGAGGAATGACCCCCGTACACGCTCGGCGCTCGTTTGCCGTTGTCGTGGCTGTCGCGGGTCACAATACCCCACTTGTTAAGATAAGGGGCCCGATAAGAATCGTCAAATAGAAAAATGTGTGACCCGACGTCTTGTGCCTTGCAGGCATGGTTGGTGGCTGCTTTCTTCTCTTCATCATCCTCCTCTCAGGTAAAAACCACGTTTATCTTTTACACCGTGTTCAAAATGTTTTGTATTTGTTTTTTTGGGGGTGGGGGGGTATTACGTAATTGTATATTTGTGGTCCTATTTTTCTTCCCCAGAAGGTTTTTTTCTTTTTTCCTCACAAAGGTCGCGGGGGGTGTGCCGGAGCCAATCCCAGCTGTCTTCGGGCAGTCAGCTGGGGACACCGGTATTTGTTTTTTGGGGGCGGTAATAATTGTATATTTGTGGTCCTATTTTTTTTCCCCCCCAGAAGGTTTTTTTCTTTTTTCCTCACAACGGTCGCGGGGGGGGGGGGGGGGTGTGCCGGAGCCAATCCCAGCTGTCTTCGGGCAGTCAGCTGGGGACACCCTGAACCGGTTGCCAGCCAATTGCCAGGCACACATCGACCAACAACCATTCACGCTCACACCTAGGGACAATTTCGAGTGTTCAATCAGCCTGCCACGCATGTTTTTGGAATGGGGGAGGAAACTTGGAGTACCCAGAGAAAACCCACGCAGGCCCGGGGGAGAACATGCAAACTCCACACAGGGAGGGCGGAGCCAGAATTGAACCCTCTGCACTGTGAGGTCGACGTGCCAACCACTGGTTCACCGGACCGCTCTCTCTCTCTCTCTCTCTCTCTCTCTCTCTCTCTCACAATTTGGTTTTTGCCACGCATACGTGACTCTGAAACAAAGCCAGACATCCTGTGTTTTCTTTAACGAATTTCCAGATTTCTGATGGATTTTTGTTCACTATAGAAGACAGCTGCCTTTGACCTCGACACCTGACTTCCTGTCACTCGCTGCTCCTCATGTCACCACCAGAAAGTTTGTTCGCGCACCACTAACAAGCCCGGGCTGGCGGCGGCGCCCTCATCCTGATCCTGTCAATCACGCAGTATTCCCCCCCGCACCCCCTTTGCTTCTTCCTGTGTGCCACTAAGTGCGTATGCACACCAGAGGTCTGTTGGTCATCCATCAGCGTCCAAATGAAGAAAACAAACAGTCCCATTTCCTGCCATTGAGGAGCCCTCGGCCACATCCCGCCATGGTGAGTCGATTAAAAGCCCATTAGAGTTCATCCGCGGATTTGCTACATCGCATTAAGTCGGCATTAATGTTGTTAAAAGTGGCCAGTGGCAGGAAAAATCATTGACGGCGCCCAACAAATAGACCCCCAAAAGAAAAAAAAAAGTGACTATTAGCCTCTTGTACGCCGCTTCGAAATGAAGCCACTTTTTGGCAATTTTAGAACCAGTCATATAAGGAACCAAAACAGGATCAGGGGCGTTGTTGAGGTCAACCCGCTTGTTGGAGCCTGATCACGAATCATTTCATAACTTTTTCTTAATACATGTTGATGAAGTTCAAGGACAATCTGAACTTTTTTGGAGGGGGGGGGGGTGAAATGGGGATGTGTGAAAAGCACATTGAGGTGGTATTGACCCGGGTTAAGTCGCAGATCTGGTATTGCAGCCCTCATGAATTTTTGATGGACTTCTCTGTGGGTCGGAGTTAAGTCCAAATAAAAAGAGGAAGACAAGCCCACACATGCTGCTTTTCAAGGGAAATGTTCATGAAAGCGTCTTTCGCGGCTGTCGTCACTGCTCTTGCTGTTACAGCTGATCAATAAAGACAATTGGATCAAATTGTCGTTGTGCTCTTCTGTAGACCGTGTTCCAACAATCCGGTCCGACTATTGTTGGAGGACATTTGATTTTACAAATCTTTTGGTCCAAACAGCAATTTCATTTACACACAGCAAATAAAAATCTTTTATCTTTTTATTTCTTTTTGGAAGACCAAGGGGGATAAAACCACTGGGTACATAACTGGGTACATAAATTCGAGTCTCAGTCACATTGGGCGGCCATTTTCTCCTTTTGCTTTGCGTGCTTGTTAAAAAGAGCGTAGAGGACCTTCAGTGTGGCTGCCACGTCCTGAGCGACGACATCTAAACAGGAAAAGTTCACAGGGTGGGTTACTTGCTCCTTACAATCGAACAAATTACGTCGCTGTGGACATCAACATTCGGACTTTAGCAGTAGCTATAAACTGCCGCGAGGTGACAACTTCCTGTCTCCTTCCCATGACGTCAAAGTGTGAGCGGTAAAGTATTTTGGTGACAGTGGCGTCATGTTGGGACGACGAGTATGTGTGAGAGTTGGGCGGCATTGCGCAAACGTGGCGTTTTCACCTTGTGGTTGAACCGAGGACACGCGCAGGCCCAAATGAGTGAGGAGGCTCAGGGCCAGCGACACGTTGTGCAGCTAACAAGGCAAAAAAAAAAAAAACACAACAGATATGAAAACTAGCATTGCAGTTAGTGGCCTAGCTGCACTCCGCCGAGCACACGGACGGACGGCGGCATCGTCGCCTCGGCGGCACGTCTGAAAGATCGTACCATCTGCGCGTGGTTGACGGGTGTCAGACTGAAGTCACAGAGAGGAATGAAGAAACCTTCCAGTTGGCCAATCAGCAGCAGCAGAATCACACCGTCGGAAAACTGCACGTAAAAACGCAATCTGAGACGATGCTACTGATCGGATGACGAGATTGTGCACGGCGATCGACGTTGGTACCTGCTTGTCCAGATCGGACACGTGCAGGCCCAGTCTGGCCACGCTGGTGTTCACAAAGCCAAGTAGAGCCTACAACATGAGAAGGCATTTTGTTCAACACTCGGCGCTGGCCAATCGTGTCCACTTTGCTTCCTTTTTTCAGAACCATTTTAGTTGTACTAAAGCAAATGTTAATTGAGGCAAGTCGCTTTTTTTTTTTCCTCTTTCACGGAAAGCAGAGTGGCGAGGGGTGACCAGTTACAGTATGCGCGGAGATGAAGGGAGGGAGTAAGGCAAAAAGAGAAACTGCAAACATGGATGGCTATTTGCTCTGTTGATTAATGGGCATTTTCCTAAAAGTAAAAAAATAATAATAATAAAGTTCCACCGGGTAGTAGTTACCATCAAGTAGAACACGAGTACCCCAGAGGTCTGTTCTAAAAATAGCTCACCAGTGATGCGACATTGCTACATTGGGGTGACAGAGACTCACCACACTTTGCTTTTTGATGACTTTGAGTGATATTTTGATTCAGTTCAAAAACTTGTTGCAGAACTTTGCACTCTGCGACACCATTAACACGTTTATCCGCGTCGGGCCACAAAAACTTGATGCCACAAAAGACGCAAAGGTTGTAAAATCCAACAAGGCCTGAGGGCAAAAGAGCAAAAAGTCCAACCAGAATGCTGATTAATTGGCCGTCCATCACTTCCGCGCCTCCGGAGCTTTCTGCAAATTGGCACCTTGCCCCGGCTTTCCCCTCGTGGTTTTTCTACCTGTTTCGCCAGTGCGACCTCGTGAGCCTCCATCCTCAGCAGCTCCTCGACTTGATTAGCGTCCCCTGCACGGTGGAGCACAAAAGCCCATTAAGTGTGCGTCATGAGTCAAGCACAGATTTTTATTTTTATCTTTTTGTCTTTACAATGCCAATGGAGTGTTTTTTTAAAAAATATTTCCAAACTATACTACATGAATAGAAAATTATGAGTAAGCATATTTGTAATCGTCATAGTGTTGATGTGCTTTCCGTGCCGTGCCAGCATTGGTGGCGTGTTCTGTTTTCAATCATGCAAGAAAAAAAAAGTTGTGATTTCATTAATGAATATCATTTTTAGATAAGTATGCTTGAACAGAATCTGGAGGTAAGCGCAGCGTTGGGTGTGGTTAGTGAAAATTTTCTGAAAAATGCTATTGGCCACAGTAAAGTGGGCCTAGTGCTTTTTCACGCAAGGTCAGGTTGCTTTGAATAGTTTTTAGCATTTAATAACGGCATTTTATGTTTACCTAGGTTGTCTTTTTCCGATGTTTACATTTGTTTGACAGTCTGAAATGTTAAGTGGGGAAACAAAGCAACTGGCAAATACTTTTCTTTACTCACCGTGGGTGCTGCCGAGGTTGTCCGAATGGCTGCTGACAACACCAAACAAAAACAAGAAGCAATGAGATGTTCTCCTCAGACAAAGAGAACGTAAAAGCGATCGTCACCTCTCTCCTGTTAGGACTTCGCTTCGAACGTCTGATCGGATCCCCGTCCCGCTCACCTGCACGGACGTCTGCGTGAGCTAACACTCGACCCAGAGCTTTTCCCTGCCCGAGGCGCCGACTTACTTCCACGAGCGCAACTTGAACCTTCACGTCGGAGGGCAACTCCAGCTCGGGCTGGAAATGTCTCACCATGGCAACCAGCAGATGGAGAGTGGCCAGGAGATCTTTCTTGTGGATCGCTGAACCAACAACCACAAAATTCATCAAGTCATACGTCGAAAAAACGGGCAAGATGAGCCCCTTCCAAATTTCGTCAACATGCACTCCCCTGTGAGGTTGTCATCACAGAAACTTGAAATGGACTGTGTTCAACCAAGTCAAAAATTGATTGGGGACAGACCACATCAAGTGCCAGAACCAGATCTGTAATTATTCTGTCAATATACGCCCAGATAATGTTGTAAACAAAGAAACATGTTTTGACTTGGAAAATGACAACTGAGGCGCAAAAGTTGACTTTCATCTCTGTGGCTCTTTGTTAGCGGCCATCAGGAACAATCATAACTGCTCAAAACCAGAAAGAGAACTTCGCTGATGGAAGCCCCGCCCCTCCCACCCCGTTTGTCAGCATGACTCACAGCTGACGTCCCACTCGGGGTCGCGCCGGCCCAGCCTCTTATCCAACTCCTCCACGACGATTTCCAGCTTGCGGATCTGAGCCGAGCTGGTCAGCGCGATCTCTTCCAAGGGCAAGTGCACGCCAGCCAAGCTGGCTGCAGGGACGAACGAAAACCAAAAAGAATTCAGCATCCTTCGCTGTTCCACCCTTTTCGTTATAGTCCAGCCTTGATTTTTCATGTGAAAATGTATCAACAATAAAACACTCAAACAATACTGTTGGAATTTAAAAACATGAATACATTTGGGAATACAATGTACTTACATTGTAATAACAATGTAATAACTTCAAATGACTATAACTAGTCAAAGCAAAAATCGATTTCTTTAAATTACCGGTAATCGTGTGTGTGTGTGTGTGTGTGTGTGTGTGTGTGTGTGTGTGTGTGTGTGTGTGTGTGGTGTGGAAATGGATCAACAATAAAACACTCTAACAATACTGTTGGAATTTAAAAACGTATACATTTGGGAATACAATGTACTTACATTGTAATAACAATGTAATAACCTCAAATGACTACGAATAGTCAAAGCAAAAATAGTTTTCTTTAAATTACCGGTAATATCGTGTGTGTGTGTGTGTGTGTGTGTGTGTGTGTGTGTATGTGTGTGTGTACTGAAGGGACAGAAACGAAGTGTCATATCTGACCCAGAAGATGATGAAGAACTAGTCCGTCGTACAGATCGTCGTCCAGACTCTGAACCACGATGTGCTCTGCTTTCAGAGTGCTATTGATCCAATCCTGCAGCACCTGGCCATACACACACACACACACACACACACACACAGGCACTTTCATCTCTCTACATTGAGCTCTCAATGCCTTTCATAGTCCTAATTAATTTGGTGAGATCACACCCAAATCCTGAGCTGGATGGAGAAAGGAGCCAAAGAACTCGTCTCTATTCAGTCTGATAACATACCAAGAAGCTTATTTATTCATTGCCACTTGCAGGAGACACTTTCTTGGAGAGCTGTGGGGAGGGGGGCGGGGGGGGG